CCTGGTGACCAGTAATGGCTTGAGCAACAGCCTTCTGGGCAAGGAGTATACTCTGTGGTCACAGAGTGGGGCAGGAGTCAAACCACTGCTTTGCCGCCAAAGAACTAACTAATTGTTCCAAAGGGCTAATTACACAGCAGAGGTACCCTTTGCTTCCATTAATGCATCCTGAGTCTAGAATAAAGGCTGCTATCTTCCTCTGGCTTACAAGATGTCTGTGTAGTCTCACCAACTTGAGGGTCTCACAAGGGACTTAGTTGAGATTCAGAAGCCTTTCAGGCACCTCAACCCAGGAGGGACTCTGTCTGGCACTACATTCAGCAGAAAAATGTAATCTCACTTTGTCACTCAGGAAAAGGCTATTTCAATTACAAAAGAAAAATATTTGTACCCTAATATGCTGGGAAATACTGATTTCAAGTTTTTACGGCTTATTACCTAGTAATGTCAGTATCCCGGAACTTCCAGATCACATCATTATTCTTTCCTGTACACTTAGAAGTCTTACTTATGCACAGCAATTCCTGTATTGATGTTGCTTTGCCCAGGCACTAGGAATATTCAGCTATGTTTAATTTCCTCCATATAACTTAAATGTTTTATAGTGGTATGCTCACCCATTCTAATTTCTCCTGCATCTTTCTTATCACCTCCAATATCAAAGAACTAGGAGAAGACAAGTGTCAGCCCCTTTGGACTGGAAAGTCCTCTGGGAGTCCACATTAAAACAAATTTCAGAATTTGCTTAGGTTTTATAGAGTGTGCGATGAGATTCACTGAAATAGGTTTGGTGTTATAACATCCTGATGATTACCATGCACTTGTTCCAGAACTGAACCTCCTCGGGGAACACATGGCTTAGCCTGATTGAAGAGGAATCTGCCCAACTGCAAGGAGTGGCAACATATGTCCTCCAAACTTTGCTCTAAGCTTGTTGACAGAGCAAGAGGAATACCATGGACCCCTCCCCTTACTCATACCGACAACTGTGACATCAGCATGACTCAGTCATGCATGGAATGCCCAAAAACAGTCTTCTTACTAATGCCAAAGAGACTTCATACATGCACACACCCAGCATTGGCCATTTGGAATTTGGCTATTCCCCATCCTAAAGCCATCTGTCCAAATAAAGAGAGAGTGTGCAATCTTGTTTGTGGCATTGATAAAGCTGCCACGGCAACCCCAGGCCCAAGCTGCACCTGTTCCTAACTGCCCAGCACAGCACAGAGCGTTGGCACAGGGCAGCATGGGAGCTCAGTTAGGCAGGGAATGACAAGGCAAGCCATAAAAAACAAAGAGATTCTAGAGTACCAGACACATAAAACGAGATCCCTTCATTTTGAAAATATAAAATCTAAACAAAGAAAGCATTCTAAGTTCAGTTCAGTTTAACTCATTGACTATGTGCATAGTTGCATACTAAATGTGATACACAAAAATTTGGCTGGCCGAAAAACCTAGTGTTTACTATATATTTTCCAAGTGTTCATATAGCATATAAGTTTCCAACTTTGATTCTGAAAGGATAAGTTGCTTATTAATATTACCTGAGAATCTTAATAATAAACAATGAAAAGATTTTTTAAATTCTTCTATCAATAAGTACTGAAACTTAAGAATGATTTATTGAAAAAAAATAAATAAATAAAAGAATGATTTATTGGCCCCATAACCACCTTATAGAGTTGTTTCACTGTAAAAACTGCCACTAGACTGTAAACTTCAGTTATTCCTGAGAATATCACCTTTTCTGCCCAAGCTAATTTTGTCTCATCCTACAGAATTTCTCTCTCTGTTCTTTGGAAACAAATGGCCCTACACAAACAAAGAAATCTGCCATGAAGGAAATTAAAAGTCAAGTTTGAAAGGAAGTGTCCTCATAATTGTCCAGTTTGGTTGTTTTCAGAATGGGTCCCAGAATATCATGGACACCTCTCAGTTCCCAGGGGCCTTTTACATGAAGACCTGAGCAAGGAGAACCCCAGCCCCATACCCACACAGAGCAAAGATTCTCAAAAAAAAAAAAAAAAAAAAAAAAGAACCTCACTGGTCACAGGCATGTGAGTACAAACTAAATACTTTATCCTCCTACAGAGTTCTCAGCCAAATGTAATTATTTGGATATACTACCTTCTTGCACAATTTAAAAATGACCAACATTTTTTTTTCAAAAACACTAAACACACACAGGGACACACAATTCTTTGATCAGACTAAGCCAAAAATCAGAGTGTTTCTGAGTTTAAAACAACTGTGCTGTCCATAATGTATACTAAACTCACACTATTACAGTTGACCTTTGAACACTGTAGGGTTAGGAGCACTGACCTTATGAAGTTGAAAATCTGCCTACAAATATCTTAACTCGGGATCCCTGAGTGGCGCAGCGGTTTGGCACCTGCCTTTGACCCAGGGCGTGATACTGGAGACCCAGGATCGAATCCCACGTCGGGCTCCCGGTGCATGGAGGTTGCATCTCCCTCTGCCTGTGTCTCTGCCTCTCTCTCTCTCTCTCTCTCTCTCTCTCTCTGTGACTATCATAAATAAATAAATAAATAAAAAACAAATATCTTAACTCCCCAAAAACTTAACAATAATTGAAAATTTGCCTGTAACTTTTTTTTGCCTATAACTTTTTTTAAGATTTTATTTATTTATTCATGAGAGAGACACAGAGAGAGAGAGAGATGCAGAGACATAGGCAGAGAGAGAAGCAGGCACCATGCAGAGAGCCCAACATGGGACTCGATCCTGGGTCTCCAGGATCATGCCCTGGGCTGAAAGTGGCGCTAAACTGCTGAGCCACCCGGGCTGCCCTGCCTATAACTTTTGATATCACAAAGACTTAATTGTAGTTAAAAATTTCCCTGTAACTTTTGACTCCCCTAAGACTAAGAGCCTACTGTTGACCAGAGAAGTCTCATTGATAACAGTCAATTAACACTATATATTGTATTATATACTATATTCTTACAATAAATTAAGCTAAGAAAAGAAAATAAAATGTTATTAATAAAAATATAAGAAAGAAAAAATAGATTCACAGGATTGTACTGTTTTTATTTTAAAAATTGTGTTTAAGTGGACGCATCAGTTCAAACCCATATTCCAGGGTCAACTGTATATATTTCCTTTTTGGGAAAGATTTATAAAGAAAGGTAAGGAATGAGAAGAAACAAATATTTATACACTCTAGCAGACAGCTCTTGTTTCTGGGAAAACCATGGAAAACAATGTACCTTCACAAGACCTTTGAACAAAGTAAAGGTAGAATGTGGTTTGCAGGAGGAAAAACTATTTGGCTCAGAAATGTTCAGTTTTATGGCATATAAGGGGTTTGGTCTTATGGAATTATTAATTAAAGAAGACGATTATAAATTGAGATTGAAGTGAAAGAAGCCTGATACAAAAGGCCACACATTGTATGAATCCATTAATATGAAATCTCCAGAATAAACCCAAAAAGATAGAAAGTAGATGAGTGTTGGGAGCCTGGGTGGCTCAGCGGTTGAGTGTCTGCCTTTGACTCAGGGTGTGATCCCAGAGTCCCGGGATTGAGTCCTGGGATTGAGTCCTGCATCGGGCTTCTGGCCTGGAGGCTGCTTCTCCTCTGCCTGTGTCTCTCATAAATAAATACATAAAATCGTTTTTGTTTTTTTTTTTTTTAAAAAAAGAAGAAAGTAGATGAGTGTTGACTCAAGCCCAAGGGGAGGAAAGGAGAGGAGACAATGAGGTCTCTTTGTGAGGTAATAAAAAATATTCCGGAATCAGAGAGTGGTAATATTTGCACAACTCTGGAAATGTACTAAAAATACATTTTTATACTGCATTATATACGTTAAAATGATAAATTTCGTAGGTAAACCCAGGCCCTTGAAAACAAGGTCCTTGGAAAACTAGTGAGGAAAGAAGTGAATAAAAGACAAAAGAATGACAGAATGGGTTAAACAGGACTCTTATTCACAGGGTGGGTTTGGGTTGGGTGGGTTTTTTTTTTCTTTTTTGAACTCTTTGGACAGAGGATCCATATCTGATTATTCTTTTTTATTCCCTCTACAGAATTAAGCACAATATTATGGACTAGGTCTGCTTCAAGGAACTGTTAATTGGCCATCAATTAAATGATGACGGACAATATCAGGAGCTGTCTTTGCAATGATTTAAAGAGAACAACGCTATCTATTCTATTTCTTTCCTGTCGCTACCATTTCATACAGAAACACTTTGTCCTTCTGATTTGATGCTATAAAATAGCATAGTCATGTACAATGTGGTCTTAGTCATAGTGAAGTTCGTCTCATTTTCTAAAACTGTTACCTTTACAAATCATCTGTGCTTATATGTTTTCAGATTAATGTTCTGGCTTTTACTTCCCAATTAAATGAAGGACACTTAACATTCACAAGATACACCTAGTCGATTATTTTTCTATTTTTACTAAGATCACTGTAGCAGGATTAAAAAGACTAGTTGGAACGCTGACTAAAACAAATGCAGGTTTTGCCAAGGACAGAATGTGTTTTGATAACGCACATGAACCACAATTTAAAAAAGTGAATGATGACATTGTAGAAAGAGATGTTTTTCTTTTTTTACCTGTGATAAATAAATCATGCCAGTTTGTAATTATCATCATGGGGCTATCTTTTTAAGAATGCACAGAAAAGTTCACACATATCCTGATGTTACAGAAAGACATGTTATGAACCCATTTTACGGATAGAAAAGAAACAGGTTAAGAGAGATTAAGGAACAGAACTTTCCCTTCCTGTGCTGTCATCCTACAACGTGGATACAGTGAGCAAATGCTGTGGAGCACACAGGAAATGCTAAGTCCCTGGAGGAGGGTCTGCATACAGTGGGCACTCAAACAATACTGCATATGAACATCATTGTATTACTCCTAGTAGAGGCCTGAAATCTGAAACTAGAAAAGGAAAATGTGAGGATATGGAGAAAAACATGGCTGGAAATCACACTTTTTGCCCTGCACATACCTGCAGCGATGTACCCGCCTCCACCAGCCTTATAGAGAACGTGACTTGTGAAAGGGGCTGCACAGATGATCAGAAAGCTCGCAGTCACCACAGCGATGACGCCCAGAAGCATCAGGACTGCCCAGAAACCACGGTAAACTGGAAACCCCAGGGGGAAAAGGAGAAAAGAAAAACGCATTTAGATTGTGAACCCCACTTAGACTGTACCAGTCAGTTTCTTTCCACTTTATTGTTCTGATTTTAGCCATAGCAAGTTAGAATCCCACGCCATAATCCTGGATTATGATCCAAAGGAAATCTTATTAGATAACTCTATACTTAGTGATGTCAACCTTCAATTCACTCATGCTTGTTATTTGTACCCCACACACTCCCAGGACAATCTGGGAGCTCATTTTCTGAATATATTTTCCATTTTAGAAGTGGAGATGTTCTAACATTCTGGAAAGAGTTACCCTGAGTCCGTACCTAGTTGAGTCACAGGTAGGTGTTTCATACCAAACGTACAACGACATGAAAAGGCATTCACATTTACCAACACTGCTTCTTACAATCACTATCACCCCCTAGGAGCTAATAATCACCCCAATTCCCTAATAAAAAAGTATACTTCTGTTTAGACTGTGACTTTATTGGAAAATAGTCTTCAGGTAATAAAAATGTCAAACAAAACAAAAAATAAAAGTTCGTACAGACTGAGATTTTAAATCAGATATATTTAAGGCATACTACTTTCCACCAATATTTTTCTTAGAAAGACTCAAAATGAGAAGCGAGAAGTTAGAGTGGTCTCTTATGCATGGACCAACAAGACTGAATTAATGGATGCAGCTGGTGATAAACGGATTGTGGGTTTGGTGATACATAGTAATCAAATAAAGAGGAAGTCTAATGATCATTTTTGAATGGGATAATTACTGATCTATTAAACAAATTCATCATTTCCCAAGGGCTACAACACTAAAATAAGTTCCTTTTGGTGTAAATGAGGGAAAGCTCCATAAAATACATTAGTCAAATTACATTTTTTAATGAAAACATAGGCTTTATATGAGAAAGCAAAAAATGATTTTTCTCCACAAGCCCACCTGGCAAAGAAAGAAATGTGCCCATCAGCTGGAATCTTAAAGCAAAGACTATGGCAAGATGGAAATTTGTAGGGAGGAAGCACTGCATTTAAATGGGAAAGGAAGGCTGGAAATGTTGTGTGGACACATCTGAAAGACAGGAGTAAAAGACCGGCTTGTACCCCGCATGCCCATGCTGTTCACTTGACAGTGGCTTCCAGGTTTGCAGTGCTAGGAATATTCTATGGCTGCTTTCAGGCTCTGCAGGGTGCCAAGCAGTGAAGGAATACTGATCATATTTGAGCGTGGGAAGAGTGGCAGACAGTGAGCCAAACACGTGCCATCCGGGTCCTATCAGAATTTGCTAGAGAATTGGCAAGCTTCACATTTTACATTTTCATTCACATACACAGAAAAGATTTCCTGCACATTGGTGAGCCACACATTTTACACTTGTATTCCCTTCGTTTACCTAAATGTCTATTATGTGGTAGGTTCTGTGGCAAGTGCTAGGGGTGAAAACATGATTAAGAGCCAGTCCACGGGGGATCCCTGGGTGGCGCAGCGGTTTAGCGCCTGCCTTTGGCCCAGGGCGCGATCCTGAAGACCAGGGATCGAATCCCACGTCGGGCTCCCGGTGCATGGAGCCTGCTTCTCTCTCTGCCTCTCTCTCTCTCTCTCTCTCTCTCTCTCTGTGACTATCATAAATAAATAACAATTAAAAAAAAAAAGAGCCAGTCCACGGAATAAGGAATAAGGAGCCCATTCTGTTGCTCCCCTGACCACAACTAAAATGTGGACACACATGGCAAACAACCACCTGAGGAGTCTGAAAAGTAAACAACAGCAAGTGTATTCAGGAGAGAAGTCAAACCTTAAGGAAAGATAAAATTGGCTACAAAGAGTTTTCAGAGTATTTCCTTTTTTTCTCCTTCTGGATTTGGCCTGAAGGCAAGCCAAATTGGGAACTTTATAAAAGGTGCAAACAGCAAAACAAAAACAAAAAACCTGGAGTTAAGATTATTATTCTGGCTAGATCAACAGGAAAGGGGGTTGGGTCCCTATAAGCCAGAGTATGGGGAAAGTCCTTGTGTTGAATTTTCTCTTTTTATTTTCCCAGGCAGGCCTCAAGGCCTCAAAAGTAAATCTACACTTCTACCCCGGGCGTGGGGGGTGGGGAATGGACACTTAAGATCCCAAATGATGATTCAACATTTTGGCTATAAGAAGCAGAAAAATGGGGTGCTTGGGTGGTTCAGTGGGTTGAGTGACTGACTCCTGGCTTTGGCTCCGGTCATAATCTTGGGTTGTGGGATTGAGCCCCACATCCACTCCCCCTGCATCAGGCTCTACGCTCAGCGAGGAGTCTGCTTGAAGATTCTCTCCCTCTGCCCCTTCTTCCCACTCATGTGTTCTCTCTCTCTCTTTCTCTCTCTCTCAAAAAAAAATCTTAAAAAAAAAAAGAAGCAGAAAAAGGGACACCCCTCCCTCCCCAGTTTGCAAAGGGTGAAGGAACCACTGCTATGGGTTTCCTCTTTCTTTCACTGCATTGCATGAAACTGGGCCATGGCCCAGGAGGCCAACTCTGAGAAACTCATCTTCCCATCCATAAAAACTGGAAAAGTGGGCCCTAGAAGCCTGAGGAGTAGAAGAAACCCCACAGACAAGAGAGAGAGCCAGAGAAGAGAATCTCTAATCTGTGTTTGATCCTTCACAAGTGATGAGTTCATGCTCCAAGTTGTACATGCCCAGAAAATGCCCAAAGAAGTACAATGATGGTTTTGAGAACTAAATTACAGTATAAAAATCACCCAAGTACCAGAATAAACCCTGAGTGATATACAAGCCCCAGGCAGACCCAAACAGCATGGCAAATGCATTGAAAAGTGAACTGATCTTGACATGACTATCACAAAAGAAAAGGACAGATCGCACAGGTGGTTTGCCTGTTCAAACAACAAATCAATATTCTCCAGAGAATTTTCACAGTATGCCAAGTCTAACGATATAATATTCAAAATGTCTAGGTTAGAATCCAATATTATTTGATATACTAACAACCATGAAAATCTGACTAATATCAAAGGAATGAGCAAATGAGCAATCAGCAGATGCCAACCCAAAGATGGTTCAAATGTGTGAATTATTACACAGACTTTAAAGCAGCTACTAGAACCATTTTCTATGAACTAAGGTGAACATTCTTGAAATGAATAAATGACAGAAATTCTTAGAAATAGAGTCTATTAAAAAAGAACTAAACTGAAGTGAAAAATATAATATCTGAAACTTAAAATCCATGAAATGAGCACAATAGCAGAATGGAGATGAGAAAGACAAGTGAACTTGAGGTGAGAACGGTAGAAATTATATAATCTGAACAACAGAAAGAAATGAAATTGAAATAAAAAATGGCTAGACTCTCAGAGACGTGAGAGACAATGTCAAAAGATGTCACATTTGTGTCACTGAAGCCCCTAAGGCAGAGACAGACCATATTGGTACAGAGCGAACATACATAGAAATAATGTCTGGAAAATTCCAAGCTTTGCTGAAAGATAAATTTATAGATACAAGAACTCAACAAACTCTGAAGAACATAAACCAAAAAAAATCAGCCCAGACACATATTAATAAAATTACTGAAAACCACAGATAAAGAAAAAGTTTTGAAAGTAGTCACTGGCGGTTGGGGTCGGGTGATATATTAAATCCAGGGAAACAACAATCCCGAGGACCACATTTTCTCATCAGATATGATGGAGGCCATTTTTAAGATGACAAAAGAAAAGAACTATCAACCTCAAATTCTCCTTCTAGTGAAAATATCTTTGAGGGATGAAGATGAAAAAAAGCCATTTCTCAAGGAGGAAGACAGAATTTATCAAAGCAAACCTGTTCCATAAAGACATAGGAAAAGGAATTTCTTTAGGTTGAAAGAAATGACACCAGGGTACTCTTGAAACTTCACGAATAAAGGAAGAGAAACAGTAAAGGTGAATATCTGCATAAATATAGCCTACTATTTTTTCTCATCTTAATTTCTTTAAAATATTCCTGCCTCTTGAAATACAAAAATATATTGTCAGCACAGTACGATAAAGACATGAAGGTTAGAATCAGATACTCTAGAATCAGAGTAACTTCTTTACCATTTACATGTGGTATAACCTTGGACCAGTTACTTAAGCTTCCTGAACCTCTCTCTCTTTTGTAAAATACAGATGTTTGTATACCTCCTTTAGAGTTATTAGAAGAGTTAGTAATAATGTATGTGAAGTGTGTGACATACAATAAGAAATCAAAGAATGACATTTATTTTGTGGTTGCTTTCATTTACATTATTATTTAAATTGCATGAACACTACACAGCATGTGGTACTGTGTTCAGTAATAGGAAAGTGAATTACTTCCCTCAGAGAGCCTTAAACACTGCTTTTATATACCATCGATGTCTGGAAATCCCTTTAGATTCCTGCACACAGTGCAATAGAGAAGTTGTGTTTGACATACTGTCTCCCATGGGAAGTTTCCTTGTCTGCTAACCTCTAAGAAGGCAGTGGCCATAACATGTGACTCTACTCCTAAATACTCAAAATACAAGCAAATAGGGTCAGATACCTAACACAAAGACAGCTCAAATAGGGTGACCTCTGGCCCATGTCTTATGACCTACGTTTTGTAAAGATGAGTTGGGCCCATCATTGTGATCCCTGGAAACCTGGACAACTGGAAACATGAGGCGATTAGTAGCAGGGCTGAAGTTTAAAAATCCAGAAGAGCCGTATGCAGGCAGGAGAGCAGGCATTACAAATCAGGCCACAGAGAGGACAGAAACAGCAGGACACGCCTCTCCACAGAGAAAAGCTGAGGGACTCAAAGGAAAGAAAGTACCTGGTGAGGGAGAGAAAAGGAGCAAAATAGAAATGTGGATGGATGCTCCTCGGAGCTGCTGTCGCTCCTGACAGCTACCAGTTCCCGTCCTGTCATTTGCTCTAACAGAATAGCCTGACTTTTGATTCTGAGTCCCCTGTAAAAGGCAGGAGCGACAGATCTGTATTTAAGGGAAGG